AAAAAGGGCCTGTGGCGTGTCATCCCTACTACTCACCTACGAGGAGACTTAGTTTGTTTGATCTTCCGTGTTCGTATATGGTTGACCAGGCCATAATAACTATACAGTTAAGCTGTATTTATTGCATTTAAGGTGCAAGGTGGGTAATTTCTCAACCTTCCTCAAACACACTCAAATTTGTTGTGCTTAATCTATATAGTAAATGCTCCAACTTTTTCTAACAAATCAATATCATAACATGATCAGGAAAAAAATATTTGTTATAAAAAATTGAAAATTTCAATTTCAAATTAAGATAACGAATTTAATATTTCACCAATTTTTATTTTATTCAGTATGGACTCAGAATGGCATACAACGTTCATTTGCCTGAATATAAAATTTAGTTCGAGTATAGTTTACTGTAAAAAAAACAACATTATGGCCTTCAAAATATGCGACATAATTTATAACTCCCAAAGTTATGGGTCTATGAATAAAGTCTATTCTGGTTTTTTACAACTAAGAACTTTGCACATAATATGTAAAAATGGTGAGATTCGCTTAGAAACGGAATTTGTTATCTTCTCTCAAAATTTGAAAATCCTGGTCATGCAGAAAAATGAAGGTAAAGTTATCAAGAATAAATATAGTAGTTCAAATTGATGTCAAATCTTGTAAGTTTTAATAAATATTGTTTGGCATCTGTACTCGAATATGTGAAAATTGTAGGTCAATGTGTGTTGAAATGAAGTAAAGAAAAAATAACCCCCTAAAAAACTCAATTATAGGGATAAAGATAATGAGTTAATAAGGATAATAAGTATACTTTATATAAGTGATAAGGCCAAAATCTGGTCCCCATTCATCAATACAACCTATAGAGTCAAAGGGAATAGAGTTTAAAATCTGTTAATTTTTTCGGCCAAACAAAAATAAAAGTCAACTTCTGCCACCTGTAGCTGGTTAACATGTTCACCAATTTCGCTCAAATTTCACATACTTAGTGACGGATAGCATTCTCCAATATGTAGAAGCTACAACAAATTCAGGTTATAAACAAACGATATGAAAAAATTAATTCCCCCTAAAAAAAAGATTTGCCCCCTTCCCCCCCCCCCCCCCAAAAAAAAAAAAAAATTGTTGGACATTGGTGGAACTAACAGATATTGGCGTTGGGTAATGTATTTATATGATACATAACCTAACGTATGAATCACAGCCTGGTTGATCAGTAATCCTTTGGAGGTACTTATCCAGTTCTCTCTTGAACACTATGAGGGGTTTGCCAGTTATGCCCCTTAAGTGTAGCAGAAGCGTGTTGAACAGTCTCAGGCCTCTGATGTTGATAAGAGTTCTCTCTCAGAGTACCTGTTGCACCTCTTCTTTTCAACGGGGGTATTCTGCACATCCTGCCATGCCTCCTGGTCACATGTGATGTTATCACATAAGTGTGCAGGGCACACTCACGTGGAAGGAGGAGAAATTAGGAGGAAGTAACATGTTATCACCGTATTAGGTGATAATGAGACGTCAGGCCTCATTGAATCCTCAATTCAATGAGGATTGAATGAGAAGGACAGTATATTATGCGAGTACAATCACTCTGTTTGGTGCAGATTTTCTTGTGTTGATTTGATATTAACCCAGCGACCTGACGTTGTCCCGTTATCACCTGATACGGGTGGAGAAGCGTAGTCGAGGAATACCACGTTAAAGGTGACGATTACAGTACGTCTGAGTGATTACTGTAATTTGTCTCTGAGTGTATATGTTATACGTAATTACACATTTAGTTATTTTACTGTCTGTGTTGTGGGACGGTTCAATTATACCTATACTGTATAAAATTTCCATGTGTATGTTTCTGATCTCGTACCAGAGAACCAGTCTGAGTAACAGTGAGTAAGGGTTGGTCTGAGTGATACCCTGAGTTACTTGTATGGTGATACATTGACAGTTTGATTTCATTATTATTATGACCTGTGTTGTGGTGTATTGTTGTGCATTGAATTGTTAAGCACTGTGAAGTGAAGTGCTGATTGAAAAGTCAGTGAACGTTATTCCTTGTGATAGCTTTGGAGGACGGGCTGAAGTGTAGTCTACTGCTGGATTCGAACCTAATCATAAGCTCAATCACTGAATATAAATTTGGTGTGAGAACTCCAGCCCGTCCTCAAACAAAGACCCAAAAGTGATTCCATGCACCCGCCAAACCCCCTGTTTATGAATGAAAACGGTTTACACACGACTCACAACTGTTGACGTTCGAACACTTCTGGAACAAGTGCTTCACTGACGAAATTTGTTCGAACCACAACGCTGTAAATGCTTCACCCACGTACTACAAATACAAATAATCGCCAACTGAACCAAAACACCTAACCTAATCTATGCCAATATATGCACAATATGCTAATATATTATGATATTAATTTATATTTGAGAAAATTCCTATTTTGAATGAACAGCATGTAAAAATTTATAAATGCGTCTGTGGGGTCGACCGCTGGATGTAATGGACTTGAGTCGAGGACTGGTTGGGGAACTCATAGTTACCCTTAAAATTGCACAGGCAATTAAGGAGCTAACGACCTAGTGGATAGGAGTACCAGGGAATTGGACTCCGGCGGTTGCTTTCGCCTTTATTTAAGTTTGAAGTTATATCTCACATCTGATACTTAACGTGTTGACCTTTGTATTGTCCTTCTCACTGAGTAAAGATCTCACAATTACGGATGGTTCTTGAGGCAATGTCCTGGTGATGAACAAACCCGGCCTGGCATGATAGCCACTTGCAAGTGTAAACAAGACAGATAGACGGAGACAGGGAGGAGGGGGGAAAAAAGAAAGAAAGAAAGAAAAAAAGAAAGAGAGCGAGAGAGACAGACACAGAGACAGAGGGACAGAGACAGAGAGACAGAGACAGAGGGACAGAGACAGAGACAGAGAGACAGAGACAGAGGGACAGAGACAGAGGGACAGAGACAGAGGGACAGAGACAGAGAGACAGAGACAGAGGGACAGAGACAGAGAGACAGAGACAGAGGGACAGAGACAGAGGGACAGAGACAGAGGGACAGAGACAGAGGGACAGAGACAGAGAGACAGAGACAGAGGGACAGAGACAGAGAGACAGAGAGACAGACACACATACATACTACAGTCACAGACACCGACTTAGTTAAGAAGCACATGTGAACACGCGTGCCATCTATTTACCTCAGACAGCATCCAGTACCACGCTCCACTACCATCATCTTCAACCACAACACTACCCCTCAAAGAAACCTATATATAGAAATAGGAGGATTTTTACCCATAGTTAAACTGATCTAAAAATTCAATTTACGCATCATTCATTTGGGTGACAGACTGATACTTTGTAGTTCAAGATACTGATAATTAACAAAAAATCTTTATTTTGGCAAAAATGGCTTGGCTTGGCTTGGCTAGGCTAGGCTAGGCTAGATAGGGCTGGGTTAGACCAGACTAGCCTAGGGCAGGCTAGAACCATCCTGTTTAATCTCACCTTATTTCCACTGTAAGCAAAGGGTAGAAGGTTTCATGAAGCAGTTACTTACGAACCTGTACATCTTTTCTCAATCTTTGGTGGCTTTGTTTACATTTACTAAACAGTTTATGATCTCCGAAGCACTAAGAGGCTGTTTACATCAATAACATTTGATTGGGATGTTTCGATGGTCGTAAACTGTTTAATAAGTATGAACCAATCTGCCTAATATTAAGAAAAGATGCACAGGTTCGTAAGTAGATGCAGAGATGCTTGATGAATCCTGGCCCTGGTTATTTTGTATCTGATGAAGTGTAAACGTCGACATAGATGAAGCAAACATTTCACCCGAAATTATTGACATCTTCCACCTAACGGAAGAAGCAACTTATATGTGGAAGATTTCCACCAAAATTATAGTGTAACATGTGTGAGTAACATGGTCTATGAAAGCACATAGACCAGACATGGCTATTTATAGAACAAGTCAAGCTCTCCCAAGACAGTGTCAAGTCAGCATATTTTGACCATTTCGTGAACACCATTCCTGGGAGCATCTTTAATGGATCCATTCCAGGATATCTAATAGCTATAAGCATATCATGGTAATACTCCAAAATAAATGCCCATACTTAATAATTGTTTAACCAAATACGTTTGGTTAACGATAAGGATCCTTGAAACAGGTAGGGCCCTACCTGGAAACAGGTAGGGTATACCTGCCCTGGGAGTGGATTGCATGAGTGTCCAGACACTGTCGCGAGGGTAAACATTGCTTCTCCACCACAAAATGGCACTCCAGTATGTACAAGCTGCTTAATAGCAGTTGTTTTACATTCGTAAATATGAACAGTGATATTAACTGCACATAAATGTGTATAAACATTAGGACACATGGTTTAAAGTGATGTAAGTGTGTCTTGCCATAAACAGTGAGGCCACTGATGCCACACTCCCACACACACAGTAAACAGAACTTTACCACATGAAGACACACCTGCGAAGAACATCCTGTGTGTCAGGGTTAAGGTAACACACGCCGCCCCACAGAAACTGTTGACAAGTGTTGGCAGTCCTTCAGGTATCCCCCCCCCTGCTGAATCTGTACACACATGGCCAGGTACTGCAACCCGTTCTCGCAAATTTAATAAGTCAATATTGACTTATTAGTTGCATGCATAGGTGACATACTAAACATAATAGTTTCCCTTGAAAAGCTTCATAGAAAACACCGACCTTACCTAACCAACTTAGTATGTTAAAATAAGCATCTTATAGCTTCGTAATTACAATTGTTACTTAACCTATTATAGGTATAGGTTAGGTAATAATTGTAATTACGAAGCAATAAGATGCTTATCTTAACATACTAAGTAGGTTAGGTAAGGTCGGTGTTTTCTATGAAGTTTTTCAAGGGAAACTATTATGTTAAGTATGTCACCTATGCACATATTTAATAAGTCAATATTGACTTATTAAATTTGCGAGAACGGGTTGGGTACTGAAGCAGCTGCCAGATAACACAGTATTACAGACTCTCCACTTCATCGAACACCGTTTCTTTCACTAATAATATTCATTACGGCACTCCGTCATCAATCGGACTTTTTACCATCGTTGATGTCGGCATCGCTCGTGGAGGGATCTTCACCGGACGACCTGTAGTCCTGGAGGGTACCAGCGCGCAGCTTGCGGACCACGATGGCCAGAATGAGCACCGTCCACACCACGTTCAGCACCAGCAGCCCCGTCAGCAGACCCATGAAGAGGTAGGCGGAGGGCATGAACATGTAGGTGGTGGCCTCGAAGAACACGCTGCGCATCACCCAGAACGGGTACATGTAGCAGCGCGTCACCAGCCACAGCACCAGGAACACCGTGAAGAGGGCGTCGGTGAGGCCATCAACGCCGGCGTGCTTGCACAGCTTGGCGGCCAGCAGCGGCACGTCAGCACACTCATGCACCACCAGCACCACGCTTCCCACCCGCACCAGGTTACAGGTCCATGAGAATACCATCAGGAGGATGGTGAACACGTGGTGCAGCAGCATTTGAACGCGCGCAGACAGTTTGATGCCTGGCTTGGGCAGGTGGATGAAGGTTGCGGACCAGTAGTACGCCAGACACAGCATGTAGTACCACCAGACGTCGTGGGTGAGGTTGTGGTGGGGGTACCCGGCCCAGCACTGTGTGATGTCCCACACCCATGGCTTCCTGTACATGATGGACACGCCCAGCATGCAGAACGACAGGTGGCAGACGAAGTCGTACGCGCAGTCCATGAACTTGTCGTACTTGGTGGCGCGGGTGAGGGCGTGGCGGCGTCGGAGCCACCTGTCTACTTGCCGCTCTGACACCTGCCCGATCTCGCACACCTGCCTCAGCACCAGTGTGGGCACCCGCACCCCGTATTGTTGATACACACCCTCCAAGATCACGTTGGGCACGGGCGGAGCAGGGCGCCGCCTGCTGATGCCAGCAGCCTTTGCCAGCAGCGAAAACACGAAGGGCTCCAAGAACCAGCACCGGAAACTAATAAAAACGAAACTGAACAACAAAGGATAAATCCAGACATGGTAAAAGTCAGGAAAGGTAAAATGGCGGGTGTTGGCGAGATGGTCCCAGGTGATGCCGGGAGGCAGCCAGAAGTCTGCCCGCCAGAGGCCGCGGGTCCACCCCTCCCACCACCATTCTCCCGCCTGCAATACAACACCAATTAGCACCTCACTACACCTTACTACTTCAAAATCAGCACTATATTCCGTATATACAAAATATTAACTACATCATTCGTTAATTGTACTATAAACACAAGTACAGTATATGAGATATATGAGAGGTCTTGAGTATAAGTGATCATGCAGGGAGATCATGCAAGAGTGGGGATCATGAAAGACTAGGGACAGTACAAGAGTGGGGACCATGCAAGAGTGGGGACCATGCAGGAGGGGGCCATGCAAGAGTGGGGACCATGCAAGAGTGGGGACCATGCAGGAGGAGGGGACCATGCAAGAGTGGGGACTATGCAGGAGGAGGGGACCATGCAAGAGTGGGGACCATGCAGGAGGGGGCCATGCAGGAGCAGGAGGAGGGGACCATGCAAGAGTGGGGGCCATGCAGGAGGGGGCCATGCAAGAGTGGGGGCCATGCCATGCAGGAGGGGGGGACCATGCAAGAGTGGGGGTCATGCAGGAGGGGACCATGCAAGAGTGGGGGTCATGCAGGAGGGGACCATGCAAGAGTGGGGACCATGCAGGAGGGGACCATGCAAGAGTGGGGACCATGCAGGAGGGGGCCATGCAAGAGTGGGGGCCATGCAGGAGGGGGCCATGCAAGAGTGGGGACCATGCAAGAGTGGGGATCATGAAAGACTGGGGACCATGCAAGAGTGGGGACCATGCAGGAGGGGGCCATGCAAGAGTGGGGGCCATGCAGGAGGGGGCCATGCAAGAGTGGGGGCAAGAGTGGGGACCATGCAGGAGGGGGCATGCAAGGTGGGGGCCATGCAGGAGGGGGCCAAGAGTGCCATGCAGAGGAGGGGGCCATGCAAGAGTGGGGACCATGCAGGAGGGGACCATGCAAGAGTGGGGGCCATGCAGGAGGGGACCATGCAAGAGTGGGGGCCATGCATCATCAACGCAGCATATTCAGCAAGGATGGCAGCCAGGGTCGACGAGCCCAGTACACATGTTACAACATGACACACACACACACACATACACACACGAGACAACAACTGCCATAACACTTCAACAAACACAGTAGCACAGTCCCACATTTGGCACTGACAGGATTTAAAAAAAAAAGTTCTTGAACAAAGATGAAAAATTCCTGAATAGAGAAAAGTAGTGTGTACAGTGCAGACGCAGCATCACTGGTCATAACAAATAACAGGAACAGAGAAGAAGGGGGCAAAGAGTCATTACATAGTCCTGTACAGCGTAGGGGGCTAATAGTAACCATTTGTCAAAGAGCCGCTTTCGCCTAAGTACCTCCCATACTTATCAAGACAGCATTTGTAGACCTAAAGTTTTTGAGAGGAATTAATATTTTTAATTCATTTGTAAACACCCTGATTATGTATTACTAGCTGGTGGGTCAGAGCTAATAATTCTATAGTAATTCATTGTGTCAGGAGGGACAGGCAGCCAGTGTATATGTACATGTTGCGCTTATATCGAAGTCACTTCCCACCCTCCAGGATGCAACCCCACAACAAGCTGACTAACTCTTGGGTACCTACATACAGCTAGGTGAACAGGGTCATTAGGTGATAGGAAATGTGCTCAACCATTTCTGTCCCATCCGGGATTCGAACCCGGAATTCTCATTTGTAAGTCGAGAATGAACCTGACAAAGCATAGTTGTTTTTTCCCCGTTGGGCGAGTTTATTGGGCAGCGCCACTCATCCTCGAGTGGACACACCGCCATGGCAGCATGTACAACACTCCCCAATAGGAAGAAAACCCGTTGGGTTGTTCATCCTGTCACTTGTACCCAGACACAGCTGGGACTTGCTTAACTGTCTCAAGTGAACAGCTTATCAAACAAGAAGATTAACCTTTGTCAACCCTTAAAATCTTACGATATCTTGACTGCACCAGGTGTGAGAGCGTCCCGCCCGACGGGTTCACAACAGTGACTGACTGCACCAGGTGTGAGAGCGTCCCGCCCGACGGGTTCACAACAGTGACTGACTGCACCAGGTGTGAGAGCGTCCCGCCCGACGGGTTCACAACAGTGACTGACTGCACCAGGTGTGAGAGCGTCCCGCCCGACGGGTTCACAACAGTGACTGACTGCACCAGGTGTGAGAGCGTCCCGCCCGACGGGTTCACAACAGTGACTGACTGCACCAGGTGTGAGAGCGTCCCGCCCGACGGGTTCACAACAGTGACTGACTGCACCAGGTGTGAGAGCGTCCCGCCCGACGGGTTCACAACAGTGACTGACTGCACCAGGAGTGAGAGCGTCCCGCCCGACGGGTTCACAACAGTGACTGACTGCACCAGGTGTGAGAGCGTCCCGCCCGACGGGTTCCCAACAATCACAACCACCTTCACCATATATGGTGACTCACGTTACTGTTGGATAAAAGGGGTTAATTGTCCCTGTTGTGAGGGACACCGCCTCACAACAGTACCAGGGGTTCAAGTTCACAAAGCTGTACACAACAAGGGACAAGTACATGGAGACATGTAAATACGCCTCTCACCGTGTACACACTTTACATTACTCTAGACCTGGACTATGTTCAGGACTAAAGTAGCCTTGATGGTGGGTCAGCAAGAACTTGTGGTGGCCTTAATAACCTTCCAGAGGTTGATAGACCTTAAGCCCAACACCAAACTAAGCAGGAAAGTCAATCTCACGGCTTCTGAATACTCATCCCATACGTCTGATCAACAGTCTCTACTAGTTCACATCTTTGACTTGCTAGAAATCATATTATATAAATCCACAGGAAAATCCTCCTTCCATCTGTGTAAACTGTTTGGCAGTCACGTAAAAGAACATTCTTCCATTATAAAGAAGAACATGAGAAACCGTTTGCCACCAACGCCAATCGTAGCACCACAAAACACAACAGATCAACCAGAAAATTACAAAAAAGCATTATGCTGAAAATATAATTCTAATGAAGCAAAAACAATGTTACAATAATGTTAGAGAGTAAACAGCCTTGTTTCTCCTGGTAAAGGCCAAGCAACAACAGCGGCAAGCCACACTTTCTACACAAACAATACCTGGAAACGCACTTTGTACAAACGCAAAATTTCCCCTCAAACCTCTGAATTATGAAAACAAAGATATACACCGTCTCTAAAAAAAATAAACAGGAAGTATGTAAACAAAAGTGAGCTCAAGGCAAAGGGAAAGTAGGCACAAGGCAAGGTGGGGACAATGCAAAGTGGGCACAAGGCAAACAAAGTGGGCACAAGGCAAACAAAGTGGGCACAAGGCAAACAAAGTGGGCACAAGGCAAACAAAGTGGGCACAAGGCAAACACAGTGGGCACAAGGCAAACACAGTGGGCACAAAGCAAACACAGTGGGCACAAAGCAAACAAAGTGGGCACAAGGCAAACACAGTGGGCACAAGGCAAACACAGTGGGCACAAGGCAAACAAAGTGGGCACAAGGCAAACAAAGTGGGCACAAGGCAAACAAAGTGGGCACAAGGCAAACACAGTGGGCACAAGGCAAACACAGTGGGCACAAGGCAAACACAGTGGGCACAAGGCAAACACAGTGGGCACAAGGCAAACACAGTGGGCACAAGGCAAACACAGTGGGCACAAGGCAAACACAGTGGGCACAAGGCAAACAAAGTGGGCACAAGGCAAACACAGTGGGCACAAGGCAAACACAGTGGGCACAAGGCAAAGTGGGCACAAGGCAAACACAGTGGGCACAAGGCAAAGTGAGCAGAAGGCAAACACAGTGGGCACAAGGCAAAGTGGGCACAAGGCAAACACAGTGGGCACAAGGCAAACACAGTGGGCACAAGGCAAACACAGTGGGCACAAGGCAAACACAGTGGGCACAAGGCAAACACAGTGGGCACAAGGCAAACACAGTGGGCACAAGGCAAACACAGTGGGCACAAGGCAAACACAGTGGGCACAAGGCAAACAAAGTGGGCACAAGGCAAACAAAGTGGGCACAAGGCAAACACAGTGGGCACAAGGCAAACACAGTGGGCACAAGGCAAACACAGTGGGCACAAGGCAAACACAGTGGGCACAAGGCAAACAAAGTGGGCACAAGGCAAACAAAGTGGGCACAAGGCAAACACAGTGGGCACAAGGCAAACAAAGTGGGCACAAGGCAAACAAAGTGGGCACAAGGCAAACAAAGTGGGCACAAGGCAAACACAGTGGGCACAAGGCAAACACAGTGGGCACAAGGCAAACACAGTGGGCACAAGGCAAACACAGTGGGCACAAGGCAAACAAAGTGGGCACAAGGCAAACAAAGTGGGCACAAGGCAAACAAAGTGGGCACAAGGCAAACACAGTGGGCACAAGGCAAACAAAGTGGGCACAAGGCAAACACAGTGGGCACAAGGCAAACACAGTGGACACAAGGCAAACACAGTGGCCACAAGGCAGACAAAGTGGGCACAAGGCAGACACAGTGGGCACAAGGCAAACAAAGTGGGCACAAGGCAAACAAAGTGGGCACAAGGCAAACAAAGTGGGCACAAGGCAGACAAAGTGGGCACAAGGCAAACAAAGTGGGCACAAGGCAAACAAAGTGGGCACAAGGCAAACAAAGTGGGCACAAGGCAAACAAAGTGGGCACAAGGCAGACAAAGTGGGCACAAGGCAAACAAAGTGGGCACAAGGCAAACAAAGTGGGCACAAGGCAGACAAAGTGGGCACAAGGCAGACACAGTGGGCACAAGGCAGACACAGTGGGCACAAGGCAAACAAAGTGGGCACAAGGCAAACAAAGTGGGCACAAGGCAAACAAAGTGGGCACAAGGCAGACAAAGTGGGCACAAGGCAAACACAGTGGGCACAAGGCAAACACAGTGGGCACAAGGCAAACAAAGTGGGCACAAGGCAAAGTGGGCACAAGGCAAACAAAGTGGGCACAAGGCAAACAAAGTGGGCACAAGGCAAACAAAGTGGGCACAAGGCAGACAAAGTGGGCACAAGGCAAACAAAGTGGGCACAAGGCAAACAAAGTGGGCACAAGGCAAACAAAGTGGGCACAAGGCAAAGTGGGCACAAGGCAAACAAAGTGGGCACAAGGCAGACAAAGTAGGCACAAGGCAAACACAGTGGGCACAAGGCAAAGTGAGCAGAAGGCAAACAAAGTGGGCACAAGGCAAACAAAGTGGGCACAAGGCAAACAAAGTGGGCACAAGGCAAAGTGTGGCACAAGGCAAACACAGTGGGCACAAGGCAAACAAAGTGGGCACAAGGCAAACAAAGTGGGCACAAGGCAAACAAAGTGGGCACAAGGCAAAGTGGGCACAAGGCAAACAAAGTGGGCACAAGGCAAACAAAGTGGGCACAAGGCAAACAAAGTGGGCACAAGGCAGACAAAGTGGGCACAAGGCAAACAAAGTGGGCACAAGGCAAACAAAGTGGGCACAAGGCAAACACAGTGGGCACAAGGCAAACACAGTGGGCACAAGCAAACAAAGTGGGCACAAGGCAAAGTGGGCACAAGGCAAACAAAGTGGGCACAAGGCAGACAAAGTGGGCACAAGGCAAACAAAGTGGGCACAAGGCAAACAAAGTGGGCACAAGGCAAACAAAGTGGGCACAAGGCAAACACAGTGGACACAAAGCAAACAAAGTGGGCACAAGGCAGACAAAGTGAGCACAAGGTATACAAAGTGGGGACGAGGCATACAAAGTGGGTACAATGCAAACAAAGTGAGCACAAGGCAAAGTGAGGACAAGGCAAAGAGAAAGTTGGCAAGGCAAAGCAAGCACAGGTCAAACAAAGTGAGCACGTGGTAAATGTAAAGCGAGAGAAGGCAAACAAAGTGGGCACAAGACAAGATGAACACACAGCTAAGAGAGCACTAGGCAAAAAAGAAAGTGGGCGAAGTGCAAAAAGGGCACAAGGCAAACAAATGGGCATGAAACAAAGTGAACAAAAGGCAGACAAAGTGAATATAAGGCAAAGAAAAAGTGAGCACAAGACAAAGAAGAGAAAGTGAGCACAAGGCAAAGGGAAAGTGGGCACAAGACAAAGAAAAGAAAGTGAGCACAAGGCAAAGGGAAAGTGGGTACAAGGCAAAGAGAAGGTGAGCACGAGGCAAACAAAGTGGGTAAAAGTTAAGCAGAAAGTGAGCACTAACCAAACAGGAGGTGGGACAAAACAATAGCAACAGTGGACACAAACACAGACAAGAAACAGCGACCAACATGCAGGCCGTGCATGAAACAGCACGAGTCCTATAATTCCAAAACAAACTCCCGCAGACTGCAGAGTAAGGCGTACAGACGGGACGGGTGACGGTACAGGCACCACACACACACACACACACACACACACACACACACACACACACACACACACACACACACACACACACACACACACACACCAAACAAAGCAACCTTGGAGAAATTTGACCTCACCAGTAATGAGGTCAAAAGGTGTCTGCTGGAGCTGGATGTGACAAAGGCTGTTGGACCTGACAGAATCTCACCATGGATACTAAAGGAAGGTGCAGAAGCACTAAGTGTGCCACTCTCTATGGTGTATAACAGGTCACTGGAAACAGGAGACCTACCAGAAAGTTGGAAGACAGCTAACAAGATAATACAAGATAACACCCAATATACAAGAAGGGTGACAGGCAAGAGGCACTGAACTACAGGCCAGTTTCCCTTACTTGTATACCATGCAAGGTGATGGAGAAGATCGTGAGGAAAAGGCTCGTAGAGCATCTGGAAATAACTTTGTAACGCACCACCAACATGGGTTCTGAGATGGTAAATCGTACCTCACAGATTTAATAAAATTCTATGACCAGGCAACAAAAATTAGGCAGGAAAGAGAAGGGTGGGCCAACTGCATTTTCCTGGACTGCCAGAAAGCCTTTGACACAGTACTCCATAAAAGGCTGTTAAAAAAGTTGGAGCAACAGGCAGGAGTAAAAAGGAAGGTGCTCCAGTGGATAAGGGAGAACTTAAGTAACAGGAAACAGCGAGTAACGGTGAGGGGGGAGACATCAGAGTGGCGAGATGTCACCAGCGGAGTCCTACAAGGCTCAGTACTTGGACCCATCCTGTTTCTAATATATGTAAACGATATTCCGGAGGGCATAGACTCATTCCTCTCAATGTTTGTTAATGATTCAAAAATTATGAGAAGAATCAAGACGGATGAAGATAGACAGAGACTACAGGATGACCTGGACAAACTGGAGGAATGGTCTAGAAAATGACTGCTAAAGTTCAACTCAGGAAAGTGTAAGGTGATGAAATTAGGCGAAGGGAGCAGGAGGCTGAATACAAGGTACCATCTGGGAGGTGAAATCCTGCAAGAGTCAAATAGAGAGAAAGATCTGGGGGTTGATATCACACCGAACC